TCCCGGATCTCCCTTCCTTCCGCCGCGCCCTTAAGACTTGGCTATTTCAACAAGCAGGACTGGCCTAAGGGGAAATTTTTAGCGGGGTTTTAAAAAACAATTTTAAATTAACAAGGCCAAATCTAATATTTCATTTTAATTATGTTTTTAATGATAATACTGGGGTATTTTTGTATTTGTTTTTTATCAGGCTGTCAGCTGCCCTGAGTCCGCAAGGAGAAGGGCGGGGTATAAATCCAATTAATAAAATAATAAAATAAATAAAATAAATAAATAGACCAGGTCGCCCACCTGGAACGGTTTCTGGGCCCTCCGTTTCTTGTCCGCCTGCACCTTAGTAGTGTCTCTTGCTCTTGCTAGGGCCTTCCTAACTATGCCCCACACCCCGCTCACTCGTGTCAACCATTCACTGGGCTGACAAGATGGGGATCTCTGTGAGCTACACTCCGGTATAGGGACAAAGTCCCTGCCATGTACCACCTGAAAGGGGGTGAAACCGGTGCTACTGTGCACGGCATTGTTGTACGCCACCTCTGCAAATACCACCAGATCCACCCAATCTGTTTGTTGGCGGGAAACATAGCTCCGGAGATACCGCTCCACTGCGGCATTCGCCCGTTCTGCAGCTCCGTTGGTACTAGGGTGGTATGCCGAACTGAGTCCTTGGGAAGATCCGAGGAAACGAATGAACTCGCGCCAAAAGCAAGCCATGAACTGAACCCCCCGGTCCGAGATAATCCGACGCGGCGCTCCATATAGACGGTAGACATGTGTCAGGAACAGTCGGGCCAATCTCCGAGCCGATGGCAACCCCTTACAAGGGATGAAGTGGGCCTGCTTGGAGAACAGGTCCACCACAGTCCAGATTACCGTATAATCCCGACTTTCTGGCAGTTCCACGATAAAATCCATCGCTATATTCTGCCATGGTCTGTCTGGGTCAGCCACCGATTGCAGCAACCCCAGGGGCTTCCCCGTGTGGGGCTTACAGGTGGCACATACTGGGCAGCCCTTGACGTACGTTTCAATGTCTGTCCTCATTCGGGGCCACCAAAACTGATGCCTGGCCAAGTGTAAGGTTTTAAGAAATCCAAAGTGGCCCGCCTGTTTCGAATCGTGACAACGGCGGAACATTCGGGACCACAGTGTCTGCGGGACGTACAGTTTACTGCCATGCCAAGCCAACCCATCTCGCTTTGTCAGTAAACCGGGATTATCCCGTAACCATGGATCATCCAGGAGAGCTGCTTTTAATTTGTTTTCAAGATTGGTTGCCACTAAACGGGAGACCGCCTTTGCCTCATTCTGGCTATAAGGGGGCATGATTGCCTGTACTACCTCCTCCCGCCTACTGTTGTATTGTGGTAGTCGGGACAAAGCGTCCGCCAGGAAGTTCCTTCCCCCTGGCACGTACTTGAGCTGGAACTGAAACCGGCGGAAGTACTGCGCCCACCGAACGTGTTTAGGAGACAACCGCCTGGGGGTTTGCAGTACCTCCAGGTTTTTGTGGTCAGTCCAGACCTCAAATGGCTCCTTTGCCCCCTCCAGCAGATGCCGCCACGTAGATATGGCCCACCTTACCGCGAACGCATCTTTCTCCCAAATAGCCAATGCTCGTTCGGGCTCTGTCAATTTCCGAGAGGTGTAAGCGCAGGGCTGTAACAACCGGCTATTCTTTGAGCACCAAAGAGGACGACCTGACAGTAAGTCAGCACTGGGAGTGAATTGCTCCCAGTGCCTTACATAAGCTACGCGTGCATGCCCCACCCTCACAAGACCTCACCCCACCCCTCAAGCCACCATCCGGTCTGCAGGAAGAAAAGCCGGCCAGCATGAACGGTAGCCCCTCCCAGTCCCATCCAGTGCCGAGGTCCGCTCCCTGGCCCTGTGCAACGTCAGCCCGGCTTCCGTTCCTCGCATGGGCGAGCCAACAGCACGTCGTCCTATCTCTGCGCCCGTCGGTCGCACAGCGTCTCTGCCTGTTTTCGGCCACGGAGGCAAATGGCGGATGGACTCTTCCCTGCCGGTAAGTGTCGACCTGGCGAGATGCTCGGTGACGGCAATGGCGAGGGGCTGTTGAGCGGCGGCGGCAGCAGAGGCAAGGGGCTGCTGAGCAGCGGCGGAGCAGTGCCTGGCTCCCCTTCTGCCCGGACAAGTTGGCCTCGCGGGGCTCGACAGCATCATTTTAGAAATATAATGTGGATATATTGAAGTGAGACAAGGAGAACAATTGTGCTACAAGTATAATTGCACTTACCGAGCCACATAACGAGCCTCTGAATGGCGACATGCAACAAACAAAGATTTGATAATGTCAATTTTTTTGTTCATAGACCGAGGAAAAAAGAAACAAATAAATTTTGAAATGTATAGGGGGTAGAAGAAAAGGAGGAAGGATAACTAGGCATAGTAACTTTTAGAAAATCTCATACCATATAATGATAGCAACCTCACAAAAAAGGCTCTTCCCATACATACATGATGAGACATTTCAGAAAATAGTTTTACAACCACCCTACTTTTTTTGACAGATAGGCATAAAGGCTGAAAATACATTTTTCTGGATGATGCTTTCAGAAACTCTATCTTCCTCCAAGCCAGTATTCTATTAGACTGTTTTCAGAAATTATATCATCAAATATTTGTGCCAGATAAACATTAAAGTTAATATCATATATTACATTTAATCAATTGAACCCTTGCTATATCACCTAATAAATCAACACAGCCAGCTCTGTTCCAGAACTGTTAATATCCTTTCACTCATTACTTACAGAGCTTCCTGCCATATGACCAATTGCTTGCAGTTTGCCAAAACCAGCAGCAGCACCAAGTTTGGGTGAAGCAAACACAGTTCCTTGTGTTGTGCGACTGTTTTCAGCAACTAAACCTAGATCTCCCTTCTCTGCTGCCTCTGCCTTGATTTGGTCCAATTGGCGACCTAGAGAGAAGACAAGACCATATAATCATGATTTTTTAAAAAAAAAACCTGAGACTAATTTATTAATAACTAGCTGTACCTGGCCACGCGGTGCTGTGGCTCAGTCTGGTTAAATGGAAAAGAAAGAATTGAATTGCATGTTCAATGGCAATTTCAAAGCGTCCAACAGATGGCGCTGTTTTTCAAAAAAAAGCATGTTTTTACCTGTCACAGGTGTGACATCTATATCAGGGCTTTTCAACCAGTGGTACGGGTACCACTTGTGGTACATTGGCACCTGGCAGGTGGTATGCGACCATCTTAGAAAAGTGGTAGCGGGGGAGGAGAATGAGCTGAACCGGTGGCAGCACCGCACAAGCCTGAGCGAGAGATGGCTGGAGCTGCAGGGCTGTCAGGGCTCAGTGGAAGCGCCAGGATCAGTGCCGCTTTCCAGCTGATCGGCGCTTCTTTGGGGCTGTCAGGGCTCAGTGGAAGCGCCAGGATCAGTGCCAGGCTCCAGCTGGAGCTCGGCGCTGATCCTGGTGCTTCTGCTGAACCCTGAAGAAGCACCAATCAGCTGGAAAGCAGCATTGATCCTGGCACTTCTGCTGAGCCCAGAAGAAGTGCCGATCAGCTGGAATGTTGCAGCATCTCCAGGGTCTTGTGATTTACATTCAGATGCTTGGCAACTGATTCATATTTATGACGGTCACAGTGTCCCAGGGTCATGTGAAGTGACCAAAACCTGCTGCAACCACCCAGCAGACAGGGGGAATAAAAACGAAACACCCCTCACCCCACCCCCGCTGCCAATCCTCAACAGAAATGCTCACAACAATGAAAACCTCGGACAGGAGGAAGAGCGCCGCCGGGTGGGCAGGCAGGTGTCTTGCTCGGCTGTGGCTTTGGGGGCACTTTTTTCAGTGCCATTGTAACTTCGAACAGTCACTAAGTGAAATGTTGTAAGTCGAGGACTACCTGTACTTTATCACTTTTTTCCTTTTTTTTTTGGTCATCAAGTTTTTGACACCTTGCTAGGCAACTAGTGGTACTTGGATATTGCCATATCCTAAAAGTGGTACAATGGATGAAAAGGTTGAAAAGCCCTGATCTATATAATATAGGTATATAAAAACACGCGCGTATTCGAATGCAACGTTGTGTCAAAATTTCAAAGCAATCAGTGAAGAACTTTCGGAGATTTAAGATTTTGAACAAACGAACATTTACATTTTTATTTATATAGATTCTTAGTACCTTCATCTTTTCAGATAAGAATCAAAATGTTCAACTTTATTACAAGAGCGTACTAGTGTTTGTTTTATTAGCAGCTATTGCCTAATGTTACTTCTCCTAGGAAGATTATAATTGGACAGACTCACCTGTGGCCTGGGCCAGAGCTTTCATGAGGATGGTTTTGCCAATGCCTAATTCTAGGCCCTCATATGCTGGGCCTAACCGATTGAGACAGAGGTAGACACAGGGGAGCAGGTCTTGTGGAGATAGGACAATCGCAGAACGAAAGAGATTGCTTAGGGTCTCTATAATTTTCAACCTAGAAAGAAAGAGATGTATGATTTTTGAAGACAAGACTGAATGCTACAACTATCCTTATTCTATAATTTGTAGCAAGGCATTTTACCGGGCAGATTCTTCCTCAATATATTCAAAAGTACGAGCCACAGCCATGTATGGTATCCTATCAAAAGAATTAGGATAACAGTGACATTTAAAACTGTGAAACTGAAATGCATCATCCAGAGGTAGAACAAAGTGAACTTTCTTCTCTTTGCATATATTATATCTCCTGAATTTGCTAAAAAAAATAGCAATAAGTGAAAAAGAATGCCAAAATCTTAAAAAGGACCTCCTCTGTCTCAAAAATCAGTACTAAATTCCATCTATTTTGGTTCAATTGGACTTGCATATTGTGAAAAGCTATGATTTTTTAAAATATTATGACTGTTAAATAAGGCACCATTAGGTGGGCTCACACATATCATGCTAAGCCATAACAACTAATAATGCAGATCAAAATAATAAACTCTTGTGTTTTAGAAAAAATAGTAGCTTGATTATAATAATTTTATTCTAAACAAAAGCCAGTTTATATTAAATAAGTGTGAGATGATAACGATGACTGGAAGACGAGTTACACTGTTCACAGGTCTTAAATAAGAATCTTGGTTTAGGACATGAGGTAGTTAATATAGTAATTTAACATGATTCTGTAATGAAGCTTACAACAAGACTGACTAACATGAAAACCGATAGGAAATGTCCACTGGTGCTTGAATAATAGGAGATACATTTTTAAAAGAAGCAATGTTTTGTAGTATAAAATCTAACTTCAGTGGCACTCACTTTTGGCCAGGGCCCCAGCAAGCATCATGAACAGGATGATAAGTGCTCTTTGTAGGATTGTATTCTGCAGGCTCAAGTGTAAATGATGGCTTGAGAAAACTGTAAAAGCAGGGGCAAAAAATACATAGTATGTAGTTATCCTACACAAAATGACCAATTCACATTTTTTAAGATTTAGGAGCCATAGTGGTTAGAATGCAGCATTGCAGGCTACCTCTGCCCATAGCCAGGAGTTTGATCTTGACTGGCTCAAGGTTGATTCAGCCTTCGGAAATTGGTAAAACGAGGATCCAGATTGATAAATTTTCATACTCTCTTAAGGCCTGGAGAATCATTGCAACTTTTTACAAATTGGTATTAAGGCTAATCTAAGAAGGAGCCAAATGTTTTCAAATGAAATACATTTTATAAAATCAAATCAGTAAACCTGCTAGCCACTGACATGAAAAGAAGATGATTACAATAAGACAATCATCCCCACCAGTAAAATCAGGCAGAAAAAAAATGTTTTAAATACACATAAAAATCATGTATACCTTTTCTCTGCTTGTCAACACAGTAATGATAATATTGGAGACTTTCTCTTACAATAATATTCAAATATATAAAGACAGATTGGGAAAACTTGGTTCAGCCAGAATAAGGCTATCTATATTTACTATGTAGAAAAGTTCAATAGCTCTTATTTCAAAAATAGTATATGAATAGAAAGAGGGGGAAGCAGAGAGGGGGCAGCCGGGACCACCCGTAAAGTATCTTTTCTTTTGTGTATTGATGTTTTGTATTTATATGCATCAAGTTTATGTTTATATTTTGTTATACTTGAAAATAATAAAAAATTTAAAAAAAAAAATAGTATATGAACAATGAAGCCATGCTGGGGAAGAGACCGTTTAACCTGGTTCATTACATTCCCATGTAAGCTGGGGGGGGGGGGGGGAATTAGAAAGGAAACTTTGGAGAACTGAGCTGCATTTTCAATTTTTTTTCTTTGCATAATGTAAAAGAATTTATAGAGGCTTGGTGCTGAGCTGCAAACAGAAGAAAATCTATGCATTCTTTTTTAAAAATATATATTTTATTGATTTTTTAACATAGTCACCTTAATATTGGGCAAACAGCGTGTTGTCTGGGTTTACATTTAAAAACAATCCATAACAATTTCTATAATTCCATAATCCACATAGTAGCTTTCTTTGATTTTCTTTTCTTCCAATAATATTCTCTTTTACCAACCTTGAATTAGTACATTTCTTAATATTTTGATAGATAACAATTGAATATAAACATTTTTCTAGTATTTAACAACCACATCAATATAAAGCTTCTTTTCTAAGCAATCATCTTAATTACCTCGTCATAAATTGTTTTCAAAGTTCTTATTTAGATTTGTTTTCCCCACAATGTTCAAAACAATCTTACCAGTTAACATTTTCTCAGAGTTAATTACACTTAAGTATTAAATCTTTTTCCTCATCCCAACAATTTTACATTTCTCATATCTTAAAAAAAAAAAAAAGAGAAGAAAAAAAGAAGGAAATAATATACTACTTGAAAAACATGTCCCTCAAGCTAAAATACATTTATATTTCTATTCTTTTTAACCATATTCAAACAAATGTTTAATATTTAAATATTCCATCTAATAAATCCAATCGTCTAATTTTTTGAGTCTATTCAGAACATTCTTATCAATTGAGATTTTCTCACCATCAATTACACTTAAATATCTAAAACATTTCCCTCATATAAACCATCCCAACATTTTTATATTTCTTATATCATAAAAAAAATACTATGTTACTTGAGGGGCCCATCCCTCTTAAACTAAAATACATTTATATCTAGATTTTTTTTTTAACCATATTCAAACAATTGTTTAATCTTTACATATTCCATCTGATAAGTCCGATCATCCAATTTCTTAATTCTAACTTTAGCCTTTTTTTTTTTTGCCAAACATTTTTCCTAATCAGTATGCTCTGCTGGACCAAAAAGTCTTCCTATAGTCTTGTAGATGTTGTCGTAGGTACAAGAGACAAATCCAGTAAAATGTTTTTGTGGGAAGGTTTGGCCCGTTTGTATTCATTGAAAATCTTTTTTCTTTCTCTTTTAATTTCTCTTATTATTTTTTGTCTCTCAAATTCTCATAGTTCTCCTGACAGCTCTATAATCCATTTTGTCAAATCTTTTTTCTTGTCCTCAGACTTATTTTGCAATCTTGAAGTATAGGTTATCTTTTCCATGTCTGATATTTCCTGCAAGTTTTTCTCCGCCTGGGTTAAGTCATAATTCCTTCCATTGTTGGGTTCCATCTTTAAATCTCTTTCCTCTGGTTTATATTCACTTGTCTACTTTATCTGATCTCTCTCTATTTTTTTATTTTCTGAGAATTTTTTTGTGGAAAGGTTAAATTGAAGATGTGTTCATTTATATTTTCAAAGTTGTTTTTAATTTCCTCATGGTTTGAAATCATTGTCGTTTGAATTAGTTGCAACATAGCATACATTTCTTCCGGGAAGGTATTTGTTTTTTCTTGATATGTTCTTTCTGGAGGTATCTGATGTTCCACGATAGCCAAAAATCAAAGTTCTCCTGTCTCTGCAAACAGCTTTAGAGTCAAAATTCTATAAGTATTTATAATCCAGGAAGATCAACACCCCCCCCCCCCCTAAGGTTTATAGTTCTTGCCTTGTAAATAGCCCAAAATGTTTTCTTTTTGTTGCAGCTGTTCTCTGTTTAGTTAAGACATTGAAGGTCACAAAAACAAGTTATCTTTTACTGGGCTTTCTGTCAATTCCTGTATTAGAGCAGGGCTTTTCAACCAGTGGTACGGGTACCACCTGTGGTACATTGGCACCTGGCAGGTGGTACGCGACCATCTTAGAAAAGTGGTAGCGGGGGAGGGGAATGAGCTGAACCGGTGGCAGCACCACACAAGCCTGAGCGAGAAATGGCTGGAGCTGCAGGGCTGTCAGGGCTCAGTGGAAGCGCCAGGATCAGTGCTGTTGTTGACTGCTGTTGTTTTTCTCTCGCTACCTGACATCTGCGAGCATCAATTAGCAAATCCAGGTGTGAGCCTTCCAAATCTGACTCATGCTCCTCACACAGCTGAGCTTCATCAGAAACACGACTGGAGGGGCCAGGCTCTTCATCAAGCCGTGAGTCCTGTAATTCATCAGAGCCTCCCTCTGACCCTGACCGCCCCTCAAAGGCCTCCTCCACCTCCTCCTCAGATTCCTCAGACTCAGCTGTTGGGAACACAGGCTGGCACGGAATCACAACAGGCAGCACCGCACAAGCCTGAGCGAGAGATGGCTGGAGCTGCAGGGCTGTCAGGGCTCAGTGGAAGCGCCAGGATCAGTGCTGCTTTCCAGCTGATTGGCGCTTCTTCGGGGCTGTCAGGGCTCAGTGGAAGTGCCAGGATCAGTGCCAGGCTCCAGCTGGAGCTCGGCGCTGATCCTGGTGCTTCTACTGAACCCTGAAGAAGCACCAATCAGCTGGAAAGCAGCATTGATCCTGGCACTTCTGCTGAGCCCAGAAGAAGCGCCGATCAGCTGGAATGTTGCAGCATCTCCAGGGTCTTGTGATTTACATTCAGATGCTTGGCAACTGATTCATATTTATGACAGTCACAGTGTCCCAGGGTCATGTGAAGTGACCAAAACCTGCTGCAACCACCCAGCAGACAGAGGGAATAAAAACCAAACACCCCCCCACCCCACCCCCGCTGCCAATCCTCAACAGAAATGCTCACAACAATGAAAACCTCGGACAGGAGGAAGAGCGCCGCCGGGTGGGCAGGCAGGTGTCTTGCTCAGCTGTGGCTTGGGGGGCACTTTTTTCAGTGCCATTGTAACTTCGAACAGTCACTAAGTGAAATGTTGTAAGTCAAGGACTACCTGTACTTTATCACTTTTTTCCTTTTTTTTTTTTTGGTCATCAAGTTTTTGACACCTTGCTAGGCAACTAGTGGTACTCGGATATTGCCATATCCTAAAAGTGGTACAATGGATGAAAAGGTTGAAAAGCCCTGTATTAGAGCAACAACAGTTGTATATCTTCATCCACCACTAGATGTCAGCACCAGTTTATTTTTTCAGTTTTCAAAACAAACAATTACTTTCTTGTTTTCATCAATAATCTTTTGAAAGGAAAATCTTAACAAATTCCACTAATTTCAAACTTATCCAGATTTAAATCTTATATTCAAATAGATGTGTATTTTGAATATTAGATTCTGTTACTAATTGAGATAAGGGAAACTTTGGTTACCTAAAGCCTGGAAATTACAAATATCAAATGTTAAATCTGAATATTGATGGGAAACTAAAAATTGAGAAAAAACCAATAACAGGACATTGATTGTCTATAAAGATTGAACGTAAAAGTAATTAAGATATGTATAAGATAAAAATTTATTGATAAATTTAATAAAGATGTTTTTACTTAGTTGATATAATAAGAACTGTATTAGCTTAAACACGAGATAGTAGTTATTAAGGGAAAAAGAGAGGAAATATCTGATGTTGTAACTTGAGATTTGTACTAAAGATTTTTGTATGTTATTGAATTATTGATTAACCCAGCCACCACGTTGCTTTTTAAATACTTAAATGTAAATTAGAAAACTAATAAAATACTAAGAACAAAAAGAAAGGACATATCAAGATCAGATATAATCATGTGATGCCATACTTAATGACTGCACTACTTAATAATTTTTCTGGTTCCTATTATGGTCTTCAAGTCAGGGATAAAATCAAAATCATTAAACAGAATCTGTTACCAGCTAAAAAAGTAGTCTCCTCCCTAAAATTATCAAAGGAGGTAAGAATTGTGATAATCTCACTTATATGAAATGCTGGTTTGTGGGCATATTTTCTCTTTATGGCTAGTTGTTGACTTATGATTATTAATTTAACAATGGTTTGAAGTTATGATGGACTCAGAAACTTAAATGTCTCATACATTCCCCAACGCTTATGTTATGTCCCAGTTGTGGTTGTAAGTCAAGGACTATCTATATTGTATGTTGTAGAATATTAGAAATAATCCTAATTTCTGCAAAGCATTTGTTAATAATTTGTCAACTTTTCTAGATAGGTTCTAGATAAAGTACTCCTTTTTATTTCTTCAATATAATTTTTGAGATGTGAGTAGGATTGTACAGAGTATTCTAAGTGCAATAACATCATAATTGTTTGAAAGTCATTATATGGTATTTTATTTGCAATTTCTTTACTAATTATCACCAACAGATTGTTTTCTTCCCATAGTAACTGGATACAATGCTGTTATTCAGCTATCCAATTACAATATCTTTCCTTATCAGTCACCACTAGTTCAGGCCCCTAGAGGAAGTATATGAAATTAGTTTTTCTCTTAATATGTCACTTTAATTCTATTATATCTCTTTTCTTATAAACAACTATCTTCTTCTTCTGCACCCCTAAATTAAAAGAAGACAGGTTTATGGAGTTCTTTTTAAAAAAATCATCCCAAATAATGATAATCTTGGTTATTTCACTGGTCTTACTCCAATGCAGAAATGGTGGTACATCTTAAACATACCAAAAAAACTAGAAATTGACTTGCTGGATGGCTTAGAGGAATCTGAGATTTCTTTTTCCTTTGCATTTCTGTCTGTTTTATGCTGCACCAATTTTGCATTTTCACTTTTCACTTCTTCCACTTCCATGGATTTCTCATTAGTTTTATCTTTAGAATCTAAATATAAAGCAGAAACCAAATGTTCAATATCATCTGTAGAAAACTTAACTAAGTTTTAAAGCCTAACCCATTTCAACTCAAGTTTGCTTTGACTTGCTTTTTGATACACAAGATAGCTGCAGACAACTTCTGTGAAACAAACATTTAGAGAACAATATTTTGAACTTGAAAAGCGTACAGAAGAT